CTTTTGCATCATTTTGCAGCTGTTGAATTGTTATTTCCTGGTTTCTTGATATTTTTTAAAAGATCTTTCATTTCCTGTTCACTAACTGCTATCTTCTCTTCAAGGTCTGAAATTCTGTCTTCACTTTCATTGAGGCAGTTTTGAACACTTTCAATGAAACTTTTAATTTCCTGTATATCCCTTTGAATCTGCTTCATATATTCTGTTTGTTTCTTAAATTCTTCATTCAGGGAGACTATATTGTTGTTTTGTTCTTTTAATTTTTTTAAATGTGTCTTCTTTAGATGTGTTCAGCGTTTCTTTTATAATTTCTTCTTTTACCTGGAGGATTATTTCTAGTTTCAATTCCTTTAAAGCTATCCAGAATTGCTTCTTTATTTCAGTTGCTATTTTTTTCAAGTATTTCAGCTTCACAACATATATGTTCTGCTATGTACATAGTGCCCAAGGTTTCTTGGGATGGGTTGGAAGTTTGAGATTGTATTTTGATCTTTCATTTTGTCATTTTACTAAACTTCTGTGTTTCAAGTGCTGTTCTAAGGCTTCGCTGGGCCTGTTGGAAATTGTCTTCTATGCCCTCAGCTCCTGGGACTCCAGCCACCCCACTTCCCAAACTGAGAGAGGACCTGGGATTGAGTCAGTTAGGCTCAATCCTGCAGAGAAGGTCCATTGTGGCAGCAAGCTCAGAATTTACTTGGCCAGTGGGAGCAATGGTTTTAAACTCCTGGGACATAGGATGGTGTGGGGACACTCACCTCAGCCCACCCTGTTTTCAGGATAGAGAAAGGTTCACTGGGGGTGTGGAAAGCAGGCTCAAGACCTGGTGAAAATGCCCAGTGGTAGGAAGCTCAGAAGTTCCTTGGCCATCTAGAAGGTAAAATTTTGAGTAGGTCTAGATGATTTTCTTGATGTTTACAGTTTGTTGTGATTTTTCCTGTTTCACTCACAATTGTGTGGGCAAGGGTCTTTTCTTGCCTTCTTTTGATAAGGTTGTCTAAGATTTTGTCAATTTTTCTGCTCCTTCAAAGAACCATCTCTTTGATTCATTCTTTCTTTTTATTCCTTTTTTGTCTCCACTGTATTCATTTTTGTTCTGATCTTTATAATTTTTTACCTTGTATGAGATTTTGGATTAGCATGCTTTTCTTTCTCCTGAAGTTTGAGACTGCACATTAAGTTATTTATATGTGCTGGGTCTCTTTTGCTGATATGAGCATTTACTGTATAAATTTCCTTCTTAGGACTGCTTTCATTGTGTCCCATAAATTCAGGTATGCTGTACTATCTTTACCCTTCAACTGTAAAACTACCTAATTTATTCCTCAATTTCATCTGTGAAGCAGAATTTTATAAGCTGATCCAGACATCATAGTCCATGCCTTAATTCCAGAACTGGCGAAACTGTGAGGATTACTTCTACACCTGGTTAGGATTACCCTGATTTAGATGCCAGCCTCTTCTATATGTTGGAATCTAGGGAAACCTGAACTGTATAGCAACACTTTGTCTCAAAAGAAAATAAAAAGAAAGGAAAAAGAAGAGAGAGAATGAGAGGAAAATGCAAGGGAATGAAGGAGAATGGAAATACTACAACCTGAATCCAGAAACACAGATATATTCATGAATAAAATCTCTAGTCAAGGAAAATTCAGGACTTGAGGCTTTTTCAGCATATATTATTCAATATTTAAAGAACAACTGCAATGTTTCTCAAACTCTGCCAAAAGTTAGAAAAGATTGCATTGCTTTCAAACTGTTTTAGGTGCTCAATCAGAACCTGACACACAGCCAGACAATTTCATTACAAATTAAGTACAGGCAAATATTTGTTTTGATAACAGATAGAAAAATCTCCAACAAAATATCAGCAAATTGAATGAAAAGCACCACTACAAAACAAATGAGCTCTCCATTTTTGAATACGCTGAATAATTTATACATTATTATGAAAAAGAGAGTGCATACGACTCCAAAAATTAGATTCCTAAAACATCAATGCTTTATAAATGGAGAAAACAGTACAGGTTGTCAGGAATTCAGGTGGATTGACACAGAGGTGAATAGGTAGAATAAAAAAAATATACAAAGGAACAATTCTGTGTAGTTCTACACTAGTTGATGTGTTACATATGTTTACCAAAGTCCTGCAGAAAATATGAATCTTATCAGATTTAATTAATAATAATATAACAATGTTGCTTCATCAATCATAAAAGGTTTATATCAACAGAAAACATTAGTATAAAAGGAAAAGTAAACTGTGTAGGGAGAATGAATTAATAGTTGTTTAGAGAAATTTTGCTCAATTTTTCTATACATTTCAAAATAATTTCTTAATTATTAAATGCAGCAATGTAAGATAAAATAACTGAAAGAGAAAAGAAAGAACAATAGAAGTATAAGTTGTTTTTATTTTTTTGTCCCAGTGAAGCCAAGTAGTGCAATAAAATACAAAGAATCAGAAAGTAAATTTGGTCAGAAAAATAATAGAGATTATTGTTTTAAACTAAAAAGAGATAATCAAGTAAGTCAACAATATTGAAAAAATAGTTTATATTAATGCATCCCAGGGACTAAAAACAATGATGGAGAATGGTACTTAGAAATTTGTCCACAAATTTACTCTATTTTGTATAGTGTTAATGTGTTCTCTGCTTTCCTTAAAAGCATTGAGAAAAAATTTCCACTACATTTGATCTTTTTAAAAATTGGTTTTGTGTTTGGAACATTTGCTTCACTCATCTAGAAATGGGCATGGAGATTTCAGCTTTCATCCATGCAGGGTATCATGAACCAGGATTATCCTTCTGCCCTAAAATCCTTAGGAAATGTAGAAAAATATGTGAAGGTACAATACTGAGAATCTGAAAAACTACCCATGACGAAGGGAATTGAAGTAGGCTCTAATGATGTGAAATTTTATAGAATTTCCATGTCAAATTATAAAAGAAGAGCCCCAACAAAGCATATTCTGATTGTTCAGGAGGCAAAGTTCACCGTGGTGTAGCCACAATTCCTAGAATTCCTGGGGGAAAGGAGTGGAAAAAGGCAACAACACAGTACAGGTTTAGGGTGGGTAAGAGGCTCCACATGTGCTCAGAGGGTCACCCACAATTGCAGAGAGGTTTTCCCTGTCCATTCTGAACCTGTAAATTTATTTTTACCTCCCTCAGCTGACCAGAGAGCCATTGAATTAGAAGGAACTGAAGAACTTAGAAAGTAAAATCTCAAGCTGCAAGAGGGAAGATTTACCAACAACTTCTTCCAACCTAATATTTTTTATGGTTCTAAAACTGTATTCCTTTATTAGCATTTGAAAATTACGTCCAATATTTACACATAAACTCATTTCTTTTTTCTCTGCATAGGTATCCAGGTGCTTGTCATATAAGTTTTGCTGCTCCTTATATGTATGAAAAGACAAGTACTCAGTATAGTCAATGAACTAGATCTGATATGATGCAAAATTGCTAGTAACAAAATCTAGAAACTTAAATTCACTTGAAAGCCCTGGAAACATTTCAATAGGATGTAATAATCACAATTAAAATTTTCTATTACAAGTACTAATACGCCACCTTTGGAATTTAAGGCTAGTTCTGGAAACCTGTCTCCTTAATTAGGACTTTCAGTAGGAGCTTGACAGAGGACCAACTTCATGGTTCCTCACTCCAGGGAATCTGTGTATTACCCTAGTTCTTATTACTTTAAATGACAGAAAGTAGGGTAAGTGGCCACAGCATGAGCAAGCAGCCAGAAGCCAGGAATAGAAGAAGTCAGTGTCTTCTGAGATCCAGCCATGTTGGAACTTATTTGGCTAAGCAAGAAAGCAGCATGTCCTCCTTTTTTGCAAGCAATCATTTCCCCAACAGCAGCAGGTGAGCCAGGAGGACAACAAGTCAGCATCTACTGAGATTCAGGCATGTGGGAACTTAGTAATCTGAGTAAGAAAGCCACATGCCCTCCATCTTGGTAAGCAGCCATGTCATGAGAAAGCAGTTGGTGAGCCAGTTAGAGAAGAAGTCAGCATCTCATGTGAACCTATCTCTGCATGAGCTGAGAATCAAATGTTCCATCCACCTCCACCCCCATTTAGCAACTGGATGGTGTTGAGGACAGATGGAATTGATAGCAGCTAAGGCACAGAAAGCAACTAAATGCCTGTCTTGTTGTGTTGTGTTGCTTGTGCTGACCTGGGGACAGAGGTCTGAGCATCTCTTGGGAGTATGATCATATGCAATATAGCAAATATGGGGGATTTCCTTCTAACTTCTCTTTGAAGGCAAATATGGTTACACTGTTTTTGCTTCATTCTTATTAACTGTCTTGTTCTACTCAATATTCTGTTTTGATAGGTTTTGTAGTATTATGTTTTTGGTTTGATTTTGTTACACCTGATTGAATGGACAACTATTATGAAAATAATAAGATATACTATGGTATCTATTACTGTTATGCCTGTATCCTGCTCTGAAGTTATATACCAATCTCATTGCACGGTCTTGATTGGCATTGCCTTGGCTTGTTTTGTTGTATTTTTACTACCTTCAGAATAAAAATAAATAAATAAATAAGTCACAGAATGTAATGTACTCAACAGAAGTTATTAACACAATCATGTTTAGATGAAAGGATATACAGAATTCAATTGATTTATCTTTTTTTGCATATATTATTAACTTGGATAGGGGTTATGTCAGTAGATATTCTTTCCAAGTGACAGCAGAAGCATGCCATGAAGTAGACTTTCTTTAATCCTTTCTATCTTTGTTTTTTCTCTGTTACTTTTGCTTTATTTTTGTTCTTGTTTTTTACGTGAGTATGAACATGATTTCTATTATTCATTTCTTTTCTGACGTGCTCATTTTCTATGTTTTTTTTTGTTCATTTGAGGCAGTGATAGAAACTCATACTTTTTAATTTCCACATTTCATTTACAAGATAGTAATTATTTATATTTTTGAAAAGAAATAAATTAACATTTATGTTTTCCTTTGTAGAAAGAGAAGTGAATCAGAAGCAACTGAGATGGCTCCTACACAGGCAGCAAGCCAGGTATGGACAGCTGAGGAAGCTGTGTTGTGAAAGTTTTCACATAGAAGTTCATAATAAAATTTCCTTTTTAAATTTTTTAATTTTGTTTATGTTTTATGTGCCTTAATTGGGAGGAGAGAATGGAAGATAAATAAAGCTATAGTGGGATAACGCCAAAAACGTTTCCCACAACATCTAAGAACCACAGTTCTTTTCAAGATATATGCACAGAGTGTATTGTTTTGTTCCATTTTCAACAATGTCAGCCTGCTTCATGTGTATAAGGGAGGTTTCTATGTGTGAGTACACAAGGATAGGACACATGTATGACAAATATCTGCAAAAGCCATCAGTAAGGCTAGGCAAAGAGGCACTTACTTGGCAAGTACAAGGCTGTGAGATCAACCCATGGAAAGAAGAGGAAGAGAGAAAATGAACACCTTTAGCATTTTTATTGTATAATTATTATACAGGTAGTTATCTCATTTTTATACTCTTAAAAGATTTACATAACCAATATATAAGTGGTGACCTATAGTAAGCCATAGTTAAACAAATGGTTCCAAATGTGTACCTATTCACTAAACCTGGAATCATATCTTTAGGGTTTTTTAGAGAGCTCGGAGCCATTAAAGAGTCTAGTAGTTTCAAAACACCACCACTAGTGATTTTTGCAAAAGTCAAAACATTGAGATAGGGTCTCCTGTTTTCTCTTTTTTCTTCTATTCCTCACTATTAGGATAGTATAGAAACATATATTCTGTTCTTTCAAACATTAAATTTTCACAGTGAGAGAGCTCGTTTTGAAATTTGTAATGTGAATTTGTAAACACTTATGTTTTAGGGCAGTTGTAAGGAATAAAATTTGATTGTCAACATGAATACCTCAGAAATACACAAAAGGATTCTACATTTAATCCCATTTATTTGCATTTTCTTAATTCTGAACACTTTCCTCTCCTTTTTCTCCAGGAACATGATTGGACTGCTCCCTCAGGACCACAGTTTTTGCTCTACCACTGCGGGAATGTGTGATAGTGCTTATGGTGCATGTCTGTGTCACTGGGCCAGGACAACATGAGCAGAGACACGCATCACGTGATTGTCCTTTGCTTTCAGCAGCCTGAGTTGTGTGTCATTTATTTCTCCCATTCCCTATGTTAATTAGTGACACTGTTCATCCATTGTGTCCATTCCCTGGATGGGCCTGAAGTCACCAGCACACCCTGAAATTTTCCCCATATTTTCACTCTAACACACAGACAAAGAAGGAGGTGTCATACAACTGCATAAAGTAAGGTTCAGTTTTATTTATAGAAAAAGGACAGGGAGAGAAAAAAGCCACTTTGAGAAGTAGGGTATGAGAATATGGGTGACTGCAAAGAAAGCCAGGAAGGAGTCTTGCAGTTATGTGATGAAGTTCATGGTTCCTCCTTCTGAAGGTAGTTTCATCTGACAGGTTTGTCTTCCCCATTGCTAAGGGTTTTGGTTTTAGTTTGGAATTGACATTGAAAAAAACAAGTACGTACATTATTAAAGGGAGACTTGAGAATGCATGACCCAGTACTCCTAAATTCTCAAGATCCTACCTGCATTTTCTGACATTAAGTGGGTTCCCATCTGTCCTGAGAGAGCCACAATTCAGTGCTTCCTCATAAAAGAGTGAAACTTCTCCTGACAGTGCTATAAAATTGCGATTCACTATTAGCAAATGTGGCTAGTTTTTAAGACGCCAAATGGATAGGTCGGATCTTAGGATGGTCTCAGACACTTGCGTGGGGTCCCAGGAAAGTACACTGCGTGGAAACCAGAGAGTGACAGGCGTCAGCCACTAAATGAGTGTATGACACCACCACAGACTTCCACGGAGAGGTGTCCAGGATGTCAGAAACATGATAGTTGATGAAATACTGTCTGTTTTCAACTGATGTGCACTGTGGACATCAACCAAGATGAGGATTTCCACAATATTCTAAAAGGTGAGATTGCTGCAGAGGTGGTTCTCACACCTGAGCTTCAGGCACTCCAGACCAAACCTGGCTGCAGCATCCAGAAGTTCAGGTGGCATCATCCCTAGTTTTGGTGCCTTTCTAATGTAAACAAAGTATATCATTTCCTTAAAACTTCAGGTTCCGTGTCACTGATTTCAACATGATTCTTTTTGCATGCTTGCATTTCATGTTCAAACAAAGCCATGAAAACTGAAGAGCAGGCTGCTAACATTGCTTTGTGAGCCTGGAATTCCTGTCCAGCCACACACAAGCAACAGTCTGTGAAGTGGGAATGCTTCCATAGCCCTCCTAGATCTTCTGCCAAGCAGCCCTCAGGAACCTTCACATTTTTCAGATTCTGGCTGGAATTATTGGTGGGATCTTGTGCTACTTTCACTTCACAGAAGAGGGAAAGGATGTCACTGGGGAGAAATCCATTGTTTGCATCCAAAATAAATTCTCTAAGGATGAATTTTCTGAATCCCCAGGCTTTTTCTTGCACAAATTTATAAGCTTGTTGACTTGAGATCTCTTTTGTTTTCACTCCTTTGGCATTCAGAATGTAAAAGATGAATTTTGCATGAAATTTCCTCTTTGAACATCTGAGCAATATCAGGTATAGTGACAGGTAATCTTTGCTTTCTTCATCAATCCCTTGTGGGTATACTCATAAGCAACATTTTAGTTTATCATTTGCTTCAGATGAAAAGGTTGGAGTTTGAATGTATTTGTCCATTTCCTTTAGGCAAAACTAAAGTTACAGATGGTCCATAGGTAGAACAATTTCATTATTTTAAATTTTGTGGTGCAGTGCCAGTCAGTTTCTGGTGCATTCAACATTTTTTCTGGGGCTGGAGCATCTGGAACACTTGACATCACCAGTCAGGGTGAAAGTGAAACTAAGTTTCCCAAGTGACAGAACAAAAAATTTCTCTCTTCACCTGTTGGTACAAATTTTCTTTCAATCAGGAAATCTGGCACAAGGAGGATGACATAGGAGTTGTGAAGTAGAGAGCCTAACAGATTAAAATAATACTTTAGAAATATATTTACTAAGATTTATAGTATATCAGTCAATTACATGACATTATTGATCACTGGAAGGGATAGGTAATCTATGAAATCTCCTTTCTGCTGGGTGTGGTGGTGTATGCCTGTAATCTCAGCCCTGAGAAAATGGAGGCAGGAGAATTGCTAACTGTCTGCATACAGCTGGCACTACAAGGCAAGACCCTGTCTTGTGAAAATCAAAGTTTTAAAAAAGAAATCTCTCACATAGAACAGTCTAAGCGATTTGCGCTGATATTCCCAAAGGCTTTTGAACTGCATGTTCAGGTATATCCATAGCAAGAAACCAACTCTTCTGATACCAAAAGTAGTCTTGTTTATTTTCTCCCATAGATGAGACAAGACATCCAATATCTAAAGTCAAAGAAGGAAAAGTTTATTATATCTCATTTTGTGGACATTTCACTCTGTATTCAACTGACTCCAAGGTAGCATAGTACAAGGCAAAGAGCAACATTTCATGGCAGCAGAAAACAAAAAAAAAAAAAAAACAAGAGCTAAATGAGTGGAGCACAGAAAGAATACTCTACTTGTTCCATATTTTGCTTGGAGGTCACACCTAATTGGGTCTAGCACTCACACCTAAAATCCCAGCTTTGGACCATGAGTCATTCACAAAATCTAGAAGCCTGCTTTCATGACTGCATGAGATTTTGGAGGAATATTCAGACACAAAACATACTATTCATTTTAGAATATTTTAGGTTTAATTTCAATTTCTTTTCAGTAAGACATTTCCACTGTGGTAGCCTTTTCCCAAAAGAAAAACTTAGAGTTAGTTTGGGGAGGTCACAAATTTACGCTTACATAATGAGAAGAGACTACAGGAAACAAGATGAATTTCTGATATTCCATTTGCTTTTTTTTGTATATCTATAATATGATATTAAAATGTTGATTTTCTTGAAGTAAATAAGGTGCACTAGACTTGAAGTTATAGGGTCTGATCTACGGGGAGTGAAGAATCATTGAGAACATGAGGAAGATTTGTTGATGACATCTCTGATAGAGAACTTACTGGGCTATGGGTCCATTGTCTACCCTGTGAGGAATTTCTGGAAGCCGGTTTTTATTTTTTTTTCGACTTTTTCTCCATATACATAGGGGAACATGATTCACATGGTGGTCCTTATGGGGAGTTCTCTGGCCTATCATCTTCCTCCACTCTGACAGAAGATGGGAGCCCTGGATTGGGGATAGGAATAACTGCACGCTGCTGTGCTGAGTAGGCCACACTGTATTTATGTTTCCTGTGGTAATGAGAAAAGCAGGTAAGAGATTCTAATCAGTCAACCTTTAGGGTTTCCCTCAGGAGCACATGTGGGTGAATGCCAGTTGCAGGGAGGTAATATGAAGGGAGTACAGTCAAGGCTCTATGAGAAATAGGTGGGCTGAGAAGGAAAGATTGCTCTTCTGGGTAAACTTCTGAGCAAACTGTGTGAGGAACAAGGGAAATGGATTTTGGACAGGTACAAACCATGAATATTGACACAGTATATCTCTAGACCTAAAGTCTAGAGAAAGAAAACATATATGTTGCTTGCTCAGAAGTCTTAGATCTCCTCCTCACCCAGTTCATGTCTTGGACCCAATGTTTGGAAGTAGTAACTATACTGAGTTCAACTGGCATTTACTGGAACCTGTGCCATGCTGGTAGCATTGGGAATCCAAGCAACCTCTCCCCCCACCATGATCAGCTGTGAGCCTGCCAGAATGCAGGCTGAGAAACAAACATCACATTTTCTCCCCCTCACCCCTAAGCAACTGGGAGCCAGTTATCTGGACATTCCTTGAGAGGTTCACCGTAGGAAACTTAGTAATATAGGTGGTATATAAATAGTTAATGTGACTGAATTATTCATGGCCTGGGTTAGGCTGAAGAATGATGACTCATTCTTGTGGAGACTAATCTAATCTCATGAAATGTGACCCACACCTGTGAGTTGCTTGTTTTTGTCATTTTTGAGAAGGGGTCTAGCTATGCAGTTCAGACTGGCCTTGAGCTCACTTTGTAGCCCAGGCTGGTTTTGAACTCACAAGAATTCCCCCAACTCAGCCTCTCCCCCAGTGCTGGGATTGCAGGAGGAAACCACAATAGCCAGCACAACAGGCCTGTGAGTTGCAACTTTCAACTTTTAGAATACAAATGTTGTGAGCATGGGGAAAAAGGACAAGAGTCACAGTACAGAAACCTGAGACCATTTGGAGCCCTCTTTCTTGATGGAGGAGAAAACTGGAGGGAGAGAGAAGGAACAGGAAGAAGCCAAATTCCATGGGATGCAGCACATTTATAAATACCGTTGGGAGACTCAGTATCATGTGAAACCTCTCCATCTATGAACTTATTCACATCATTTGTCTCAGGCACCCAGTGATCTTGAGATTAGAGCAGTTATCCCTGTGACTTGACTCAGTAAGTCACTGTTCTTCATACTATCATTTCTTTGGCACCACATGTGATCCATTTTCAGCTTCATCTGCTCCTCTGAGTCAGCCAGACTTTCTCTATCTCTGATTGTAGTGCTCTAATATTTTCATTAACTTCTAGAAGGTTCTACCTCTTAAAGTTACATTACTTTATCACTACTACACTATGAACCATGTTCCCTGAAAATGAAACTTATCAATTTGATCTCTGGTACAAAAATAAAAAAAATAAAAAGAATCCAAACCATAACCACAGCATGGCAATCTGCAATAAGTTCAGGCAGGTGTACAAATTGCTGAGCATTTCCCTTGTTGAGACAAACATACTGGACACATATAACCTAAAGTAGGAGAGTTGTAATTGGGTTTGTATCCTCAGAGTTTGGATGGCTCCAAGACAGAAACATTGTGGAAAACTTCCTGGTAGATCAAGTTTGTTCTTTTCATGGCAACAAAGAAAGAAGAAAAGATGAACAGCAGCAAGAGATTCTCCCCCACTCCAGGCACAGCCACAACAACTCAGCTTCGTGGTTCCCCAACTCTTAAAAGCACATTCAGCTATGAACATCCAAGGAAGAATCCACTGAGGAGTATAATCCCCAAGACAGGAGACTCTTAATCTCATCAAATTGACGATGTGGATTAACTGGCACACGAGTTGTATGACCAGTCACTCCAAAGGTACTTGAAGTGGCAATGGCAGGTAAAAATGCTGTGTGGATGTTATTCATTTTATAACTTCTATTTAGATGTACCTAAGTATCTCAGCACCCTGGCAGACTGAAATGGGTTTGCTAAAAAATCTGATTAAGCCTAAGAAACCCCAAAACTTAGCAAGAATTTGTTTCAAACTAAACAGTCTAAATTGGCATGAAAGGCCACAATTAAATCCCCAACACTTTCCTCTCCAAAATAAAAGCAGCTTGAAAGGATGATATTCTTTTCTTTTTGGTCAACAAACCATTTATTTGTCTTGAAATGGCTGGGGTGTCCCTTGGGAAAGAGGGTTACAAATCACTGTGGGACTCTGGAGTGATTGGTGTAGGTGAATTCAGGCAGAAATGGCCTCAAGCGAAGGTGGAGCTGTTCCAGCCCACATTGACAGCTTTCATGTCACAATGGTTGATATAAACCCTATTGCGACTGATGTGCAGGCACTAGGACAACAAACCACACAGCAGCTTGCTGTAGGAGCAATTCCGCACTTAACCTATCTTGCCGATGCTGTGCGGGCTGCAGAACAAGCAGGGCTTCCATGAGCCCGTGAAGGTCATGAGCTGGTCTGGGAGCACATGCACTGTGATGTACTGGGTGGGCTTGCCGGTGGCCTGCTCAAGCTGCTGCGTGAGTTCGGAGAGGAACCTCTCAGACACGGACTGCGGGGCATGTTGATATTCAAGATGAACATAGGCATGTTGGGTGAAAGACGCTGGACGAGGGCAGAAGAGAAAGACTGCACACCCGGCCCCTATGCAGGAACCTGAGCTACATGACTGCTGCGATAGTATTCTTAAAGTACTTAGAAATTGTTAAGTTTTCTGGATCTTTAAGTAGTTACTGTGATATTTTCAAAATTATGCTTAGAGATTTTTCTAGCTGATATACTACTACATATTTAAGGTACGTTATTAAAAATATACTTTTTATCTCCATATGTGTAACTTTGGTGTGCCTCCAATTCGCAGTGACTTATTTCTATTTCACACTCTTGTTTATCATCATAATAACACTGCATTACATTGAAGTGTATGATCTACTTGCTTTATCTTGTTCAGTAGAAATGAAGTGTTTGAATATCTGTGTGTGTGTGTGTGTGTGTGTATAAATGGTCCCAAGTCTTCACACATGTACAAGAATGTA